TTTGTATTGTTTACTTAGATGATGTTTTAATATTTTCACATTCTATTGAACAACATTTCAAACATTTGAAAACATTTTTCTATGTGGCTAAACGGAATGGTTTAGTTGTTTCAAAATCCAAGATTTCTCTTTTCCAAACCGAATTCATTTCCTAGGACATTATATTACCCAAGGAACAATCACTCCTATAGAGCGATCTTTAGCTTTCGCTAATAAGTTTCCCGATAGGATTCTTGAAAAACCCAATTACAACGATTCCTAGGAAGTCTAAATTATGTCTTAGATTTTTGTCCAAACATTAACCATATTGCAAAGCCCTTAAATGATAGGTTAGAGAAAATCCCAGTTCCTTGGTCCGATGAACACACCAAGATAGTTCAACAGATTAAGAAATAAGTCCTAGAAATCCCATTCCTTCATCTCATAGATCCCTCTATACCCAAAATTGTAGAAACTAATGCATCTAAGTTAGGTTATGGTGGGATACCGAAACGAGTTTCTTTGAGAAAAGAAAACATTATCCGAGTTCACTTCGCACATTGGAATAATAGTCAAAAGAACTACTCCACTATCAAAAAAGAAGTTCTAAGCATTGTCATGTGCATTCAAAAATTTCAAAGCAATTTACTAAATCAAAAATTCCTTTTACGAATTGATTGTAAATCCGCAAAAGAAGTTAGCTCGGGTAATTACTCAAAACATAGTTTCCTCTCTCTCTGCTTGTTCTCTGTAATCCCTTAGAACAAATTTCCTCACTTGTAACCCACAAAACCGAAGGCATCATATCCGCTTCGTTTTATGTAATTTGTAAGTCGGTTTAATACAAATTTCTTATTTCATATTATGTCTTTGTTTAATTCTATATCTTTATTTTAAGGTATATCGACTGAAAGCAATAACCAAACCTTTAAGGTTTAATCTTTGGTGTAACAATGCCACATACCATATATATATACATATATCCTGTTTAGGGAAATGAAAATTCATTTTTATATTTTCTTTTCTCCTAATGGTGCAAAATAATAGTCCATTTGCTAAGATGTAAAATTGGGATTTGATGTGTGAAGGTCTCTAGTAACCGAAGGCAAAGTTCCATGGGTTTTTTTTTCTTGTTGCGAATAATTAATTCTGAAGATGATATGTGTGAGAGTTTGAGAAAGATCAAAGATAAGCAAATCTTTTATTAAAAAAGAAAGAAAGAAAAGCAATAGTGATTTTGTGGGTTGCTTGCTAACATGATATGAAAGAAGGGAAGAGGAGAGACGAAGACTGATGCATATTAAAGAATTAAAGAAGAAAAAAAAAAAAAAACCTAAGTTAGCATTCGGATCGTGTTTCGAAATAAAAGGACAAAACCGAATAATAAAGAGAACTGTATTTAACAATAGCGTCCAAGATAAAATATGTGTTAACGGAAAAATTTTATATTACTCTTAGAAGTTTATGTTTGGTTAATAGTTTACAAACTAACATAGAATGTAAAAATTCTCTCATATGCCCTTCTATTATTTGTATTTATAGAATATATTTCAAACAAACAAAACTTTTTATTATTATTATTAAAAAGCTTTAATTTACCTCCTAACATATTATCTCATTATTAAATAGATACTAACCTTTTGATGTTATCAATTTTGTCCATAACGTAATTGAGACTAGGCAATATCTCTCCTCCGTCCATCAATTGTTAGTGATAGTTAAAAAAAAAAAAAATGTTAATTTATAGGTACTTGTTAAGTGTTTTGGACCCAAAGTATGAAAATAAATTTCAATCTATCCTAAAAGATGACATAATCACCAAATTATAGTAAAATTTTCTCTTATACAAGCTGGTGAAGTTGAGAGGCAAAAAAATATAAACAATTATCATTATTTGAAACCAAAATTGTCACTTAGGGTAGGCGAGGTTTATTTTCACAATATAAGCATTTAACAAGCACATACAAATTAAATAAAATCTTTTAACCTTTATTGAAAGTGGATGAATTCAGACGTGACTGTTGTCTAATGTTGATTATATTTGAAGTAAATTTGATGAAAAACAAAAAGTTTGATTCTCACCATAAAATTTCTCGTAGAGAAATACGTTAGGGGCTAAATTGAGGTTTCCTCAAGTTTAATCATCATATAAGTTATCTAAACAAAATTATTATGCTTAATTCTGAACAAAAAGTGAAATCGCCAACACCTTCAAGTTATGGTAACTCCTACCTCCTTAATTGGATGTTTAGGTGGCTGATCTAACTCTCCCTAAAGACAACCAAAATTGAATGTCCTTGGCCTCCATTACTCTCACGAGAATTTACTTTCTTGCCTTGACACTGACTTGTCTTTCGTAGTCAGAACCATATAATACAGACAACACAGAGCATGCGCTATATATATATATATATACACAGATAGCTATAGGCAAGGGACCAAATCCTACGTAAAGGACGATGCTTATCTACGTTGATGTGTAATTTGAAGTGGGAAGTGCCTGCAAGTTCAATGCATTGTTGTTGGATAACTGACTGATATTGTTTTTTAGTAGCATGGATCTGGACTTTTTTAGTGTTTTCAGCCGCTAAATATATACATGTGGACGGGTGGCACATTTCTTTAACTTGTATAGGCTTGTGCCTAGAAGCCCTAGACTAGAGTGCTTTCTGTTCTTTTTCGTACGAGATAATGCTGTTGTTCTTCCCAGCTTAAAGGCCGGAGCTGGATAGATAAGCACTTCATGAGTTATATATGCTGGTAACAAGGACAGATTCCCATTTGAGGTAGGTTAAGCAAAGTTTGGCTTGGCTAAGTGCAGACTAGCCAAAACTTTCACATGCAATTATATACCTCGGTCCATGATGTTTTCTAACTTATATAAGTAAGTCAATTAGGGTGATTTCAAGCAACTGGGAATCTTTCAAAATGGAGGAATAAGAAAATTTTCAAAAACAATGGGACTGAACATCATTCTAATGGTTTTGAGTTTGTCTTTTTGGTTTTGAAACCGTTGGTGAGTTTTGTATCAGTTTGACTGCTATTTTTTTTATTTTTTAATGAGTTAATTATATTGATGATGGATAAAGTTGTTAATTTTTTTTCTATTGTATATACTAACAATCAGATATTTATAACTCTACGTAAAAATAATTTTTTTGATCAACCAAATTACTTAAAAATAACCATATACAAGAAAACGATTGAAGAAAAAAATCTTGAACAAATACATTCTTAAAGACAACAGGCCTTTCTCATTCTTAATATATATATATATTGATTGTTTGAAAAATAAAGAGATAAAAATAAATTGAATTTGAGTTGATTAAAAAATTTTCTTGTTTAATTTTATACATTAATTTTTATAGTAATATATTTTTCTAAACAAATACTTGTTATATATATATATATATATATATATATATATATATATATATATATATATTCAGATCTATTAATTAGCATGAAGTTCTTAATTGCCATGTGTCTGACAATAAAACCTATATAACAATACCAAGTGTACAATTAGCGAACACATCAACTTAAGATGACAAACCACTGAAATTAAATAATAAAAAAAATCACAAACACTCCCCTTGGCAAATAAATAAAAATACCTCTTTAGTATTTCTGTATAATTGAAGGAATAAATGCATTGCAACTGGGGGATGTCCCAAGCTGATGGAATAAATAGGGTAATAAAATAGGACATGGGGTGGTGACACTGCTCCTCCCGATTTATCATTCTAGTACTGCTAATTATTCACCATCCATGCTATGGTAAATCTTAGACTTTAATCAAGAATCTTTCTTTAATGTATCACAGGTAATTATACAAAGACAGAAAAGGAAAAGCAATAAAAAGTCTCAATTCTTGTTTCATTCTTTGCAAGAACATGGTAAGTTGCGAGCCAGCTTTTATCTTTTAATATGGTGTCAAAACACACATTTTTCTGATACCATAAGTACATATTATTACAGTGGCAGTACACAAGCAAAGACATTATCCATGAAATCATCTTCAAGATCCACTAGTCCCTACAACTCACAAGAAGGCATCTATCCATCTCCACAACAACAGAATCTTATTCACTTTTATCCATTACAGACACGAGAAACATTCATACATAGGACAACAAGAACAACAATTAAACAACAGCAACGATAAACACATTCAACTCAAGCACTCCACTACTACTACTACCCGGTATCACATACGTTCTTCCACACTCCAACTATTAATGCAAACAAATCTGACAGACCAACCTTAGGCTATTAAAGGACTTCACTACATAACCACGGTCACATGTCCCAGTACTGTGCAATACCAGAGCAAGCCAAGCCAGAATAGAATGAGTGAAAACAAACAAGCCTTTATTGAGATCATTTTACCAAAGAGTGGACCCCAACAGTTAATGATTAACCACTGAGCTTCTCCACAGAAGTATCTCACATCACCCCAGAAGTTTTCTTCGTACTACTACTTTTTAATAAGAGTTTAATACCAGCATGATTTGTTTGTAGGTAAAGAGACCAAGACAAAAGCATGAAATCAAAGAAAAGAGAAGGGTGGATAGTGGGACCCGAATTACCTAACGCGCATGCACTAAATCCATGGGGGTTCTCAACACTTGAAGAAAAGGAAGTCCTCATTTACAGCACAGCCCACCTCTACAATCAACCCATGCGTTCAAATCCTTTGTGACTTTTGTTAACCTTTAATCCACGATAAAGCTAAAAGATAATCATTTCTGGTCAACAAACAAAACCCAATTTTTTCTTCACCTTCTGCAAGCAAAACAGCCATATCATCCCACTACTTCTCTCCTTTTATTGGCCCATTATATACAAGCTCTTGAGAAAAAGAGTTGGAAAAAGAGCCCCCACATGAGAAAAAAGTTACAGTGATTTCAAACTCACCAATCATTCAAACCAAGAATTCTTGAGTTGCTACCTTTCTTTCATTGTTCCTTCCTTCCACTTTTTAGCAAACATGCTCCCATGGAATGAGGGAATGAAACTTAATGGTAGTTCATGCCTAAAGTTTTGGCTTTGAGCTTCAAAGACTTTAAGTAATCTATAGCTTCATCAAGGACCAACAACGGTTCCTTGTCCTTTGCACCAGGGATTATGCCATCCAGAATTTTCAATGTTGCACGAATCTTATCCTTTCTAAATTGCTTGCTGCCCAAAATGGAAACCATTTCCTCTTCTTGGGTTTGGCCTATAGCATAGCTTGATTCTGTCTCATCGTCATTTCGGTGAAATCCTTCCACTTGTACTGAACTAACAGTGTCTACTAACGATGATTTTTTGTACCCACCATCAATCAATTTCTGCCTTTTGCTTGGGCCATCAGAACTAGCAACTTCCTCTGTTATTTCCTCTACTTGTTCTTGTGTCCCATAACTTTTAATCAGAATGGGAGAATGACCAGTACTCCTTACTTCATCATCGTCACTAACATCGTCACTGCCACCACCATCTTCATCATAATCCTCATCATCCGAGTATAGCAGGGCATTGATTTCTTCAGTGTCCTCGTGCATCTCACTTTCTTCAGCACTAGAGTGATTCTCATCTGATACTTTATGCAACTTCAGCTTCGTCTGGTCCATTTTCGATACATGTTCTTTGTAGTTAAAACAACCAGGAAGCGGCTTTGCATCAGCTGCAGTTGGTTTTGGAACAGTAGGACCCAAGGAACTGTATATCAACCTTTTTTCATTCCCAGACTGGTCAAAAACAAGGAACCTTCTCTGGCTTCCAGGAATTGGGTTTGGCAAACCTCCCCTACCAAGCCCATAAGAAAACATGGATAAGTTATCTTTGACATATGGGCTTGTACCAGGAAGAAAATTCTGGGAGTGAGGGGCTAAACACTGAGGCAACCCATAGGATTCATTGCCTTGTTGTATCTTGAGATTTTGAATGCTTTGAACTGCAAACCCTGGCATTGCCACATTTGCAGAAGTCATGTAAGCTCCAGGGTGGATACATGCTGGCAAACATTGTAGTTGTGCAGGATCCAACGATGTGGTCATGCAATTGAAATTTGGCGATTGCCAAGTAGAATGTGGTGGAAAAAGCCAAGAACCTTCAGCCTTAACCATCCAACCAAAAGAAATACCTGTAGATGAAAATAAAAAAGACAAAATAAATTAGTCTCTGGAAAAGAACCTGTTATTATGTAGCTTCAGACCTAATAATAGTGAGATATCGAAAAATACCAAGAGTTGTGCTTCGATCTGCAATATTGAATTAATTGCTGCTTCTTTCAGGAACAAGGAAAAGAAAAGGAAAAACTACAAATTCCAGCTTGATACAATAACAGAAACGTGGAACCAATCTACGTGACAGGTTTAAGCAAATGACGAAAGTATTCTGCCTGTAAAAAAGTAAACAAGGAATGAATTATTATCGATTATAAACATTGAGAAAAAAATGATTCTAAGGACTCTTACAGCCAAAATATATAAGAAGTTAACTATTTCACAAAAATACTTTCGTAAGAACTGCCAATTAATTGCATCGCGCAAAAAGTTAATTAATAAAGGAAGCATTAAATGTTTTGTACTGACCTGACAATCCTGCAATGGTTGATAGCATGCAATAATTTTAACTATAATTGTTGGTTTTCCAGCGATTCCATTCTCGTATTTCAATGCCCGAAATCTTGTTTGACTAGCTGCTTGGCACACCATAACTTCTTTTGACCACTTAAAACTCAGACTATTCAGATGCAGGCTCCAACACCAAAACAATTACCGAATAACAGAAAGCAGGACAGAGGAAAGCTTGATATAAAGATCAAAGACGGACTGGACTTAGAATGAAAGCTAAAGGGGAAGCAACGTTGTAGAAACAGAAAACTTGAATTGAAAAAGAGAATGAGGATCAAACAGAAAGAGAAACTAAAAGAAAGATAAATTGTTTTCTTGTTGTCTTTTCAGCTAATCCTATGAATATCACAATAAATGATGAACAAGTGATTCGATCCCATTAACAATTTTGTGAAGAATGACAAGTCGAGAGTCTCAAAAATTGAAGTTCGCTAGAAAGGTGATTTACAGAATAACCCTGCAATACAAATTCAAACGCATTACTTTGCGGAACACGTCAACTGATGGACTCAACCAAGGCATATTGTTTTTCTTTGCAATAATGAATTATTCACAGGTATCTACTCTATGTATATGCCAGATTTCCTGCAAAAGGCAGCATAAGAAAGAGAAACATGAGTGCTTATTGGTTTTTCAATAATCAGATACAAATGCAATAAGATGGATAAACCAGATGAAATAAAAAAAGTGGAACTAACTCATAAATAATCTCTACAAATTTGAACCTTGGCTATTATATTTGACAGGAGATTTTTTTTACGAGCACGATATTACAACTAAATTGCACCCCATAACTGTGATTCCTAAACTACCCTCAACAACAAACACAAGATTTATCATTATATTCTGCTTTCATGTTCTACCATTTTCAACCAGCTGAGAGTCCGATAAAGACAACTATGACAAAAATAAGCTGGCAAAACTGAATTTCAGCTTTTCTTTACAAAACAAAAAGGTATGCAAATGAACATGATTGACGTCTTTCAATGTTCAAGCTACCAAACAAACAAAATCCTAAAAATTATCATCCATCACATCCTTCATTTCCACCAAGCAAAAGCAACCAAGAAACGTATAAATCGACTACTATTGATTCAAGTTAAATTCAAGCTATCTCCCTCTATCTTTTCCTCACTATTGATTATTCTCATCAGCCAAGCAGGCTAATCCAAATTCTCTCCTGAATCCATCAAACCCCGTGTAGCAAAATTTGGAAACTTTAAGCTTAAAATAAGCCAAAGCACCAAACTTTCTCAATCACCAAACACAAAAACAAAAACCCATCAAGAAAAATGAAGATAAAACCATAAAAGAACTCAAACAAATAACAAATTTAACAAAAATCCAACATACCCATCGAGCAAAAAAAGGAAGGCACGCAAAAAGAAAAAAGAACCCAGATAAAGAAATTTAAAATTTTAATCACTTACAGTGCAAGAAAATAATATTAATATCTTTCTTTGATCAGATCCAAAGAAACAAGGAGTTGACTCAAAATGAAATCCCAAAAACACTGAAAGATTACAGAGAGAGAGAAACAGAGAGAGAGAGAGAGAGAGAGAGGATGGGAACAGTTAAAAGTGCAAGTTCAAGAAGGTTGTGTCTAAAGAAGTGAGTGTGCTAACAGGTGTTAAGATTTTATAGAGATTTATATGACCATATTGCCCTTTTACTGTTGTAGAATAGTATTTGACCTTTGGCCATGGTTAAGCTAACCTAACATCAGTTATTTGTTTACCGTTGATTGAGGAACGCCACTCCCTCTCTCTCTTGGACCTTCACCTTTTTTCAGAATTAAAAAAAAAAAATAGTGATTTTTGTGGAATGAAATAGACTGAGTTACAAAAGAAATGCTATATAATTAATAATGCGAATAAACCTCAATGAGATGTGCTCCCTCCCAACTTTTTAAGTTTGAATTTTAGAACTAACATTTCAAATAATTCATTTTTTCTTAATATATGAATTCTACATAAAAATGTGGTTTTAAAATCATTTTAAAAAATAATCTCAATTCCTTTTTTTTTTTTTTACATAAAACTGATTTAAAAATATCTATTAACTTAAAATAATAATAATAATAAATGTGAATAATCCATTTAGATGGCAATTATACAAAATCTAACTGATTTTAATTTTAGGGGATTAGTTGGGATGTAGTGTGTGTTTGGTGGGTAAGCCATGAAATGGATTTGAATTGCACAAATTTCTTTGGTTTGAGCAAGTAAATGGTATATTCTTTTGAATATCTTAATTCCATGGCTTCCATCAATACAAGAGATTAGATCAGCCTCTTTACCTAGAACTCTGGCTGTTTGTTATCTTCCATTCTAACCAATTAAAAAATTGTGAGGTAATATATATATATATATAATGACTAATTTTTCTCTTAATGTTGAAATGTTATGAATTCCATATATTGGTTAAGTCACCTGGAATCCTAGATAATTTTTAATAATTGTTATTATCCTATCAATCATGTCATGTCAACTAAAAATAAAATCTAAGTTAAAAAGATGTGCTAATGTGGAAATAAAAAAAAATATTGATTTTTATAATTCATTGATCATAAGTTACATAAATGGAACTAATCATATTCATCATGTAATAATTAAATAAACTAAAATTATAAGAATTCAAACATATTTTGTTGATAAAAATTATTGGATATAAAGCCGTTAGATTATATATACTAATGTCAAAATAAAATAAAAAATAATAGAACGTAATATACAAATTGTTTCTGCAAATCATTTCTTAAAAAAAAAAAAAAAAAAGGAGGAGCCTGTGATTCTGAACACTATTAGGCATAGAGCCTCTTCCAGAAAAACAAAATATGGAAACCTACTGTGATCTGTTCTAACTAGTGGAAATATCCTTGTTACTTTTTGTTATATTAATTGGTCTCTTTTTCTTCTTCTTCTTCTTCTTTTTTTTTTTCAATTCTCAGATTTTCTTTTCCTAAATAATATTGGACTCATAGTCATAGCATGAGAATGGACTAGAATCATGGGCTCCACAGTTTAAACATCCATCTCAATGAAAAGAATGCTCAAGATAAATACGAATTGGGCTAGCTAGCCCATTATTTATTTATTTATTTATTTATTCATTTATTATTATTATTATTATTTACCTTAATTTGTGCATTCCTGAAATAATTGCAATTATGCCAATAATGATAATAAGCAACCTTGAATCATATAGACATAAACATGTGCCATTACTCATAAATCTCCACTCTTCTAATTGCTAATCTAATAATTAAAATGGTCATTGGCCATTTAAAAGGCAAAGCAGGTGATCTACAGGCTGCAATATTGACCCCCACAAAAAATAAATACATAATATTATAAAATAAAAGAGCCATGCCCATGTATGAATGATTAAAAGGGCATCAATTGTAGGCTCCCAACTTATGCACATTTAAAAAATAATTATAAAATTTTTAATAGTAGATAGCACTCATGTAAAAAGAAAATCCATAAAAAAAAAAAAAAGTATAGATATAATAAAAAAAAACAAAAAAGCAATAATGTATGAATTATTTTTAAAATTATGCATAAGAAAACCCATGGCTTTGTACAATGTTGCTTAGAGTGGAGGGAACAAGAATCATAGGGCTAACTTATATTTAATCAAAACATCATAAGGTCTTCCCTTTTTGAGGCAACCAAATATGTTCCAAATTTCCATCAGATGGGTTGCAGGATATCTGGGGATTCCTCTCTTCTTAATTTTGCTTCTAAATTTAATATTAATGAAACCAATTTCTTAATTCACTCGCAAATTCTTTTCATTTAAAACTTTATTAGTCTTCAAAAGCCAGTACTACTAGAGCAAATTCTCTCACTAATCTTTCATATTTTAGGCGTTTGTTGCAAATTCATTAATTCTTAATCTCTTAAAAAATGTCGCCAAGATAAAAAAATTTGTCTTTTTTTAAGATTTTAATAACAAGAGTATTCATGGATCATTTTTCATACTATATCTCAATCGGTGTATTTGTAAGGAAATTCTTTCTTAAATAAACCTTCAAAATTCGAATTAATTTATTAATTACAAGGAAAAAATAACCTCTTAAATTTGAACTTTAGGAGAAAGTCTACTCACCACCTCAATTAAACTTATAGGTGCACATATCATATTAATATGGAAGTTTGGTTATTAAGATTGTCAATAAGTTAGTGCGATGATATCTTTTGTTGATTTTCTGAATTTCAAACCTTTGAGGAAGAACGTTACGCATATGCTATTAAAATTGTCGACAAATTAGCATGAAAATACCTTTCATTGTCAAAAAAAAGAAAGAAAGGAAAAAAAGAATATACCAAACATAAAAAAAGGTTTAGCCTGCTATTTTCTACTTAATTTAGGCGTATTGTTTGGTAAAGTTTGATTTCTTTTCCTCAATTCCTAAGAGTCCAAGTTTTATTCATTGGTCATAATTTTTCTCATTCTTCCCCCACTCTCATGGAAAACAAAAAACAAAAAAACCTACCAACTTTAGGCCCTCATATTAAAATACTTACGGTCCCACCCATCCCTGAGTTTTGGGCAATTAGCTTTGATTGCTTAAGCAGTTGTTGGAATTTGCTTTCTAAAAGTATTAATTCTTAGAGATTCAAGCAACCATAGAATTCACACACACACACCCACATATATATAAAGGTAACAATGGAATCAATTTTATTTTTATTTTTATGTTAAATAAAGAGGGTATAAATGTGTGTAATGAGTCAATATAATGTTGTAATGCACTTGATTCATATATTTACCTAAAATGAAAGCAAAACCATGTAACTTTAGTGATGTAATTAGAGGCAAATGGGGTTTTTGAAAGTGATGATTAGTGGAGATAAAACGGGCATGGGGTATGTATGATCTTGATGTTTTGTAGTGGAGGACAAAGAAGTGCTCATATGTGTATATATGTTGATTTTTGAGCAAAAGCCTTGATGAAACTAATACAAAACTTAAAAAAAAGAAAAAGGTTAATCATGAAAGAGAAAACAAAGAGTAAATTAATTACATTATATTAATCTAGTGCTTAATTATCCACCTTGCCTCCTTTCACATTGAATCTTAATTGTTAAGCGTCCGGCAAATTAATGGAATAATTTAGCATTCAACTTATCAGGTAACCTTTTTCCTATTGCAGGATTCAAAGTTTAATTTTTTTTTTTTTTTTTTCTAAATCAACTTTAGGATGAGGAATAATTTGTGGAGAGAAATAAAAGTAACTTGCTGGAAAGCAGTAACAAATTTAGGAAATTATTAAATACTGGCCAAGCACGGTTGTGTATATTTCGTAAACTACTCGTATCGTTAATCAACCAAATTGGCATGAGAATAGGTTAATGTTCAATAATAGCTATGTAATAAATAGTAGCTACGATGTTAGATGACCTATAGCAAGATGAACTTGATCAGATTTTATGGTCGGATTAGCGAAACATGTCAAAATCAGCTTGCAACTTGCAAGAGTTTGATGGGCATATTTCAATACAAATTATTGTTGTCCCACTTTCATGTAGTTTTCGTACAATGATAGCAACGACCACTTCGGTTTCACGATATAAAGAATTTGATCTTCTTATTTGAAAGGTAATTTTTTAAAAAAAACAAATTACGTTATTTTACCTCATTACGATAATTATGCTTAAAATTGCAAGAAATAGTACCCTTTTTTTTTAATAATCGATTTTTAAACAAATAAATATTTATCTTATAGTGAATTATACTTACACATCTTGCAATTAAAAGTAAAAGTAATGTATAGTAACGTGACGTTACTTAAGTGTGCATTAAGTTTTATTATAAATATGATTGATAGTGACTCCATCTCGCAAGATACTCTAATTTTCGGTCAAAAACAGAATTAAAAGATAATTACTTAATTAATTACAAGAACATAATCAAAGTTTTCAAAGTTTATGTGTGTTTAGCATATTGATTCACGTGCAACAAGGATATAATGCAGCATCATTATTCAAGCCACGATAGCTGAATATTTCTAGCTCAAGTTGCTAATGAAAACTTGCTATAGAAGAGAAGTTGGTCCAAAAAAGATGGCCGATTAGAGGCTAAACCATGAAGATAGAAGAGCACATGGGCATCACATAGGCATTGAAGGGTGAAAATGAATGATTGAACTTGTCTTGTGACATCTTTCTTTGCAAGCTGTATAATGGACCTAAAATCTAATTATGCTTCCATTTGGCATTATCATATCCTCTTCTATTTACTTGTAATCATCAACCCTCAACATTTTAAGCTAGCTACCATGAACTTAATGATCTTAAGAGTACCATATGCATGGCACTGTTATGGCCCAACCTCGAGCTTAGTTTTAAAGTCCTAAAACCCTCATTTCAGGGCTTGTGCTTCCTGAGGTCCAGCAAATTTTCAGCCAAGACCCCAAGAGAGTGGTTTTCTTGAGCTTGAAGAACAAACAAGCCACGTTTAGAATCTATAATTTGACATTGTCTTTAAACTTTGGACGCCTGAATACAAAGATGAGGAAAAGAAAATAAACAAAATTTGTTTTGATTATTTATATACTGAAGCATGTTCTCTTAATCAGACAACCTTACTATAATTTTTAGTACATTGATTTCAGCACTGATCATCATAATATGAGGAATATTATTGGATAATTAACTATAGTGGTCATTGTTCATCCACTCATTTTCTACCACTCTCTCAGAGAAATTTTAAAGAAAAAAATGATATGGCTTCCAATATATAATTAAAGGTGAGCAAATAAATCAAAAAATATATCTACAAGCTTGAGTGCTTGTTCCATTGCCCTCAATTTGGATTAATCTTTTGCTGTCCTCATCAAAATTAATGATCAGAAATCCTTAAGTAATCTCCTGACTTGCTCTAATGTGACGAATAGCACCACAGTGAAAGGTCCTTGCCTTGAAATTGTAGGGATAAACCCTTTATACAAGGCCATAGGACCCTCTGCCTTGATCGTCTTCATTGCACAATCCAGTGCACCCTTATAAGGTGGTTCCACCCCAGGCTCCACCTTCATATTCATAACTCTAGTCTTGATCACATCAACTGGATTTGAAGCAACAGAAGCCACAAATCCAGCCACAAAACTTGCAGTAACATGGGTGCCAATCCCATCATTCATCAAACCCTTATCCAGGATCATCTCCTTGGCTTGGTCATATGATGCAAGCTGTGATGCAGTCACAATCATTGCGCGGTTGACTGTAAGACCCGACCCGCGCCATAGGCTGGCAACACCCTCTTGCTTTGACATTTGACTTAAGGCATCTACAACACTCTTGTAGTTTCTACGTTGTTCAATAGGGAGACGTCCATCAGCCTGCATACGGACCATTGCCACATCTGCAGGATTCCCAACAGCAGCCCCGATAGCACCGGAGATCAGTCCAGCCACTATCTTACGTACAAGTGGCATGTTATTGGTATCAGGATCGGTCCATCTGTGTTTGAGCACACCATAAATGCCCATACGAGTGGTGGAGTATAGGGTTTGGCGGAGGATGGTGGCGGAGACACCGGATATAAGGGCAGCAGCGCCTTCGGATTGGATGATACGGACACCAATGGAAAGGGGTCCAATACGCGGTGGAGGAGGGACTTCCAAGGTGGTTGGTAAGGAAATGTTGGCAGTAGAGCTTAAGGCAAAAGCAGGGCGATGGGATTGTATAGCAGATGGATTTGGGATGTGGGATTCACCTTGAAGTTGCATACGGACCTTGATTAAATCTAAAGGGTGTGTGGAAGCACCAGCAATGATTGAGGCGATACCACCTTCAGTAAAACCTTTCAAACCCATGTTAAATTCTAATGGAATTTTTCAAAGGTTGATGATCAAACAAACAAAGAGTTCAATTATTTGGGATTGAAAGAGAACTAGAGAGAGTGAATCTGAGCTGAGAAAGGAGTGAGATGTGGTGTCTTGATGAGCATTAAGACCGTCATCCATATTTATACAGAGACTGAGAGCTTCGAAAGAACATAGAGACCTTCTTGAAAGCTTTACGCGGCTAGCTAACTATACGTGTTGACTGTGTTTACTTGTTTAATTTTAGAACTAGTTTTTTTCTTGTTCAAATTAGTGTGCCTATTATTGGCCTTTGGCAGTCTCGGTTTGACCCTGAAGTAGCTTTAATAATATTCAAAAACCTGTGTTTACACCTTATATTATTCAGCTTTGTGCCACAATTGGAGTTATCTACTTGGTTATGGCACTTTCTTCTGTGGATTCCATGTGAGAGAAAGACAATACATCTACATGCAATTGACCAATTATCAGTACTCGATCACTAACCCCGTGATCCAGTCCCAATTAATTTTAAAGCTTTAGAATTTGTTTCCCAAATAATTTCAATTTGAATACATTTTGCTACCATATGTGGATTGACTGCACTTTTAATTTGGTTGAAAGGGCCCCCCTTATGAAAACTCAGACCCAGTTATTACAAGGTCTAGGATCTTGATTCATGTTCAAACTCAATCCTAATTATCAAACCTATTTCACTTTCCATTTCAATTTTCTCCCCCTCCCACTTTTCAGTTATATGTGAACTTTATGTGGTCCGTATTTCATCCCACACTAATCTTCTTTTTTTTTTTTCCAAAAAAAAAAAAATGCTTACCATCAATCCAAATTTATTATCAACAAGTTTCTCTTCTTATTGCTTTAATTAAGGGTGATCATTTAGTTTTTAACATTTTATTTTGGTTTTTAGTTAACCAAACCCGAATCAAATTACTATTCAGTTTTTTAGTATCTAAATTAAAATTTTGTTTTTGAATTTTTTCAATTTTTTTAAAACATAAATAGAACAAAAACACTATCAATATATCACATAGATTATAAGTTCATAACTCTAGCCCATACCTATTTTGGACGAGAATAGATCTACTAATTTTTTTATTTCGGTTAAAGAACGACATGTCACTTGTTAAAGAAAATTAGTAGTATATGGAAGTAGAGAATTACGGTGCAGCGTGGCTTGTCTATATGCGACAAAGAATTTTTCTTTGAAAATGATTTGTAAAGAATTTATTAAATTTTCTTCAAAAGAACCTCAAAAAAATATGAGAAAGAATTAAAAGAGGTAACACTATAAGAAAAATACCAATTAGCGACGACATTTACCGACGGATTAAAATTCGTCTCTATTTAGCGACACATTAGCGACGGATTATAAAAGGTTGTATTTTGCGATGGATTAGCGACGGACTAACGACGAATACTTAGCGACGATAAAAAATCCGTCGCCAACTAAGGCGAGGAAAAAAATGCCAAAATCAACGACGAATTAGCAACGAGCATGTGGTTGCTAAATGAAAAAATTAGCGATAAAATTTTTTTCGTCGCTAAAATTCCCATAATTTAGTGAAGTTAGCGACGGATTTTGGAATCCTTCACTAACTTTGGGATTTTAGGGGTAAATTTCCCCCAAAGTTAGCGACCGACTTGCCATCCGTCGCTAGGTAGCGATGGACTTGGCATACGTCGCTAATGTTTCAGATTTTAGGGGGAAATTTCCCCTCAAATTAGCAATGGACGTCGAGTCCATCACTAGGTAGTGATCGATTAGGCGTCCGTCGCTAACTTTGGGATTTGGGGGGAAAATTTTCCCACCAAAATCACCACTTAGCGACGGATTGTGAAATCCGTCGCTATTATGAAATTTTGGGTAAAAATTCTCCCACCCACATTGTTCAAATTTGTGACGAATTTGCTATTCCGTCGCTAATTAGCAATGGATTGGCGATTCCATCCCTAATTAGCGACGGATTGAAATCCGTCACTATTTTGAAATTTTGGAAGGAAATTTTCCCACCCACAAGGTTCAAATTAGCGACGGATTTGCTATTTCGTCGTTAATTAGCGACAGATTGACGACTCCATCACTAATTAGCGATGGATTGAAATCTATCGCTATTTTAAAATTTTAGGTGGAAATTTTCCCATCCACAAGGTTCAAATTAGTGATAGATTTGCGATTCTATCGCTAATTAGCGACGGATTGGCGATTTCGTCACTAATTAGCAACAGATTGTCGATTCCGTCACTAATTAATCCGTCGCTATTTTGAAATTTTGGGAGAAAATTTTCCCACCCACACGGCTCAAATTAGCGACGGATTTGTGATTTCGTTGCTAATTAGCGACTAATTGGTGATTCCGTCATCGATTCGCAATAGATTAGTGACGAAATCGTATCCGTCACTAATCTCCGAGCCTATAAACACACAGTTTCTCTTCTTCTCTCCCATTCGATCCCCTCTCTCCTTCACCTAAAAATCCACCGTCGCCTAGAAAACCACCACCCACGCCGCCTCTCGCCACCAAGTGACTTCCTAAACCATGCAAATCGGTGAGGTGCATCGTTCTCCCTTAAAATCCAATGAAATCTATGCTCCCTCTCCTTGGTCTCTTTGGTAAAACTTTCTCTCTCTAACTCTTTTTTTTTTTTAATTAAATGAATGTTATAAACTTGTAGGTTAATTTTGTTATTTGTTAGTTGATTAATTGTTTGAATGTTGTTAATTTTATTATTATGTTAATTTTTAATTGTGTTAATTTATTTGTTAATTATTAGTGTAAATTTATTAGTTGTTTATTTAATTTTCTTAATTGTTAGATTTTTTAAAAAAATGTTATTTTTAATTGTGTTAATTTTAACTTAAAAATTGTTAATTATGTTAATTTTTTAGGTTTAATTTTATTAATATAATTTATTTAAGGTTGATTTATTTTTAATTTATTTTTTTAATTTTTAGATTAAAATTTAATTATTTAATCTTTAATTTTTATTTTAAATTAATTAATTAATTGTGTTGATTATTAAGTGAATTTTGTTAGTTTTTTGTTTTAAGTTAATTTTTAAATTATATAATTTTGTACATACTTTAGTTAAATTTTGTTGATTACTTCTTATGAAATTTTTAATTTATTAGTTGCCTATAAATCCATCAACTAATCGGCAATCTACCATTTCTTCCACACGAGCTTCTCGTTCGGTCTCCACCCAATCCTCCCGTCGAGCCCTCCACATAGTATCGAAGGAGGATATGGGATTAGACAAGCAAGATGAGTGAGGATGCATGATAGAATAAAAATTTAGTGACTTTGTTTTATTTTACCGAATGTACTACGGAATGTTATTGTTAAAATTAATTCATTTTCAATCTATACGTTATTACTTTTAATTGTTAACTATTAAATCCAATATTAACTATTAAATATTAAATGCAATATTAATAATTTAAAAAAAATAAAATGAAAAAAATATTTATTTTTTGAAAATATAGCAATGTAATAGCGACAAATTGGTGACAATTTCATTTTTTAAAATAGTAACGGAATAGCAACGAATTGACTTTCAAAATTAGCAATGGATTTATTTTTAAAATTAGCGATGAAATAGCGATGGATTTATTTTCAAAATTAGCGACGGAACAACGATGGATTAGCTACGAATAAAATGATCGATCGAGCAACAAGATTAGCGACGAATGTTCCATCACTAAATGTTGCAACGGATCGAGTTTTTCATCATAAAAAATTAGCGACAAGCCAAATAACGATGGAAAATATTCCGTTGCTATTCCATCGCTATTCATGAATGACGATGGAATCGGAGCGTTTAACGATAAAATCAAAGTGTTAAATGAAGGATTCATCTGGATTTATTTTAAAGCAAGAGGATAAGAGCATAGGTAGAGAAATATTGCAAATAATGCATAAGTTGTGGAATTAAGAGTGTAAGTCAAACATAATTATAACAAAAGTAAAAAAGAGAGAGAGATGAAATGACACTAGCTGAATTAGGGGTAGCCATTTAGCTAGCTATGGTATTGTTTTGCTTTGATCATAAGAGAAAAGAATTGGTTAGAATATACTTCTCCTCCTAATTTTATTTTTCTTATTCTAATATTGATGTTTCTACCAATTAGACATAATAAATAAATGATTTTGATGTTCATTTGAGGAAAAAAAGGATAATTTTTTCATAACGATAAATGCACATCATAATAGTAGAGTAAACAACTCTTTGACTTATCACTTTTTCTTTTCGGTGTTTCCATCACAACATATTGTAGCTGCATGCTTGTTCTATTTTTATAGTTTTGGATTTTGACTTGTGCTTTCTTTATTTTGTTTCATTCCATAATTTTGCATTTTTTTTTTACAAGGTTTTAGCCCTAGTTATTCTTAGGCTATCATTCTCTCATGTTGGCTTCAATCTTAATGTTGTTATTCGTATGTTCTATAGTTTTGATGTTGCTATTTTTATTTTTTATTTCTGAATTCCTTCTTTTATGATATTGGAGGTATCTAAACTTACTCGGTTGGCCTTCTAGTTGGTATGTTGCATCTAAACCGAAAAAAAAATTGGTTTTTTTTTTCAATTAAATACCGAATCAAAATTGATATTTTGGTTGGATTCAATTTTTTGAGTTTAAATTGAAGAGTGCTCACTCCTAACTTTAATAATTAGTTATTCGAGAACCGTTTTAGGTAGATCAAATTCAAAGTTCCAAATAGAAAGGTTAAAGAATGACTTGTTGGTTGTTGTTGAAAATTAGTAGTATATGAAAAATGGAGAGATATCGTGCAGGTGTTGCTCATCTATATGCAACAAAGTCTTTTTCTTTGAAGATGATTTGTAGATAAAGAAATTTTTATAATCAAATGTCAGCAATTAATTAGTTAGAAAGTTACTCATGTGAAGGGATTGAATAAATTCAGTTAACATTACGAAATGCAATTAAAGATGAGAATTTAGTTATAGCTTACGGGATCATCGAGATACTA